TTATTATTAAAACATGACTGAAAAGACCTATGTGCCCTTACTTAAGTTAAGAGCACATGTTTCAACACAACATTACAGATCAGCAACATCAATCAAGGTATAAAGACAGAAATACCCCTACGCTAACAAGCCCAAAACAGAAGTTTTCATATACATTGAAATTCATCTGAATAAAAACCAGCCGATTTTATGAAACCAGGACTGGTTCACCAACTTGGTTGGCCAATTATGGCCAGTTTTCTAACCCTCAATTTTTAGAGCCTAACCAAACCAGCCAGTGGACCAGGTCATGGTTTTTCCAACCGGTCCAGTTCTCTGGACACTGCATCCAATTGCAACATGGAAATCACGCTGCACTGCAATCCCACTACAGCCCAAGGAGAACTCTAAAACCCTTGAAACAGAGCAAACAATTTAAGCTCTGAGAGAGTTATTCTCACCAGATAAATGAATTTGTATCCAAACAAAGTTATTTGTAGGTTTATACATGCACAGAGGATAATCATAAATAGTTCGAACTAAGGACAATCATTTCTATTTTTCTTTTTATCACCCAAAGAGATCTTACTTTCCAAACCCAGAAAAATAAATAAATAAATAAATGGAAGGCAAAATATTGTAAAATCTAAGCTATCCACTCGATAGATTTTTTTTTTACTTTTATTTTTAACGCATCCCCCGTAAATGGGATATTTGATGACAAAGGTATCATATGTGAGGGAAAAGGTGTTTTGCTTACTCTATCAATTTCAGGGACAGGAGTGCATGCACTCGTTATTGGGATTGCCATGTAATCGCATAGTTCATCTTTGACCATTGAAGGGGACGCAACCAATGTCATCCAACGGTGCCAAAGAATGTGGAATGGATCATGGTGTCTAGTACTCTATGTAATGACATTTGGATTCCTTGGCAAGCTTGAGCCTTGAGGGTTTAGATCATATGGATTTCTAGGGTAATGAACATTATTGTTAATCCTCCAAATTCAGGAATAAAGAAAGCTTTCTAATGTGGTGAGAGCTCCACTCCCACTTGAGAATTTTTGGGCAGTAGTAGTAGGGAAGCTGAGTGTCTATATTTTCTTCATCAATCTACATCCTCTCATGTACTCTTATGCTTTTTGACATCATGACATGTATATAATATACGCTATATGCATTACCTTAAGAGAAGTATACAACAAGAAAACAGAGGGTCAGATTGTTCAAATCATTTCAATGTCATTAAGTTACGTGTTGTACAAGATATAGATTTCAATCAATACTGCACAAATAAAACAAGGAAGTAGTAGCAAAAGATATCTATAAATATACATATAAAGATTATATACATACATATATAGTGGAATTTCTTAATCAACTGATATATCTATGAAGACATCTGTAAAATTGGATCACTGCCCGTTTAAATACTTGAAGAGAGAATTGGTCATAGCACCATTCCATCATGTAAGTTTCAAGTTGATAGCTCTCAATGTAGGGAAAAAAGGAGAAAAATCCTATTGGAGTGGACTGGTCAATAATGAAAGAATTCAGGTCTAAACTATCATAAAAAAAAAATGATGTAATGTGACCTAACGATTTCAGAAAATTCAGAAAAGCAATAGAGAAGAACGGATAATGGTTTAAGGAGATGAAATCTGATATTGTAGTAGAGAATAGTTGCAAATTAACAGAAAAAATAGTAGAAGAATAAGAAAAACATGTATAAAAGATGGAAGCTTAAATACCAATTCAGGCCTTAAATCAGATGCCAAACTATGTGGATTGACAACTTGATGTTAGACATTGAGAGCATCAGCTTTTTAATATAATAATGGAAAAGCAGAAAACTTTTTAGACATGTGGCAGGGACTGTTGGTCAGAAAGCTGCTCCATCGGTAGGTGGGATGGGAACATGCATAGCTACCAATTGTGCCAATACATGTAACACTCCTGGCTCTACCAGGTGTCTAACAAAGAATGTCTACATGTGGGCAGACACTGGATTGAGCATAAAATGCACGCATTGTATTTGTGAAGGTGTGAGCTTCTCTGTGTGTGTGTGTGTGTGAGAGAGAGAGAGAGACTAATGTTTCACTCAGGAGATTTTGAAGGTTTTTTCTTTCTGCCTTTGCTTTCTTTTTTTTTTTTTCCTTTGTGCCCCTATGCACATCTCCATTTGTTTCTTTATCAGTCTGTTTCTCTCTAGATATCTGGTATTTTTTTCTCTTTAACTTTGTATTAATTTATTAATGATTAGAAAAAGAATATTAGATCAAGCAAGAATTTACATAAGAGCACAACATTTTGTTCAATATTCTTTTTTTTTGAGAGAGAGAGAGAGAAAGGTAACCAGATTTCATTAAAGAAATCTTCTTTTGTACATCTTCCCATTTTGTGCAGTATTCAAATGCAAAATGAATATAGTGTGAGGCATTTGAAATACCTGAGCTTGTCTTGCAGCCCCTTGCAGTGCAGCTTCCATCATTTTCATTTCCATTTTCATCTTCTCCATTTCAACCACAGAATCTACAGTATCTGATATGTTGGTTCTAGAGTTTAAATGTTGCTCTTTAGTATCAATCTCAAAATTATTAGCGTGTTGGTTTGTTTCAACCATGCCACTGAGTAATTCGCCAGTATGAGAAACAGATTCAGAAGCCATATCTGGAGCCTGGGCATTTGGCAACTGATTATCATAGGGTTCCCTGGAATCATCATCCTTGACAATACCAGTGGAACTTGAAATAGAGGTCTCAGTCTCAGCTCCAACATCTTGATCATGCAAAGACTCAATTTTTACAATAGGACTCTCCTCATCAATCACTTCTGCCTTCGTCTTTTGCTCATCCAGACCTTCACTCAAATAAATAGCAGAAGATGACTCCCCTGGTGGAGGGAGAACATTTGCCTCAGCTTGTTCTACTTCATCCATTATTAACTGGGTTCCGAGCAATTGTGGTTCTTCATGAAGTCCCACTTCCAAGCTTTCTTTCTTCTGGAGGGAATTTAAGGAGTCCCTTGTTGTTTCAGCAGTCCCAGTAATGGTATCATCCATTCTCATTGTCAACGATTGTGGATCCTTTTTGGTTTCCCTGGGATCTGAAACTACATTATTCATGCTTTCTTCACTGTGTGTATGCTCGCTTTCCTCCTTGACTTCAAGTGCTTCGTTTTCTTTCTTAGCAGAAACAATTTGTTCAGTGGAAGATGGACTGACTGCATCACTCTCAGTCCTTTCTTTTTCTTGGACTGAAGACTCAGCTTTTTCCAAAGGTTCAGTAAAATTTTCTTCAACTTTGTGCCCTATAAATGACATTACTGGTTCAAATAGTGCTTTCCTGTCTGTTGCTGAAGACCATGGTCCTGAAGCTAATAGTCCAAAGAGATTGCAAGATAAAAATGCAAAATTAGTACACATACTGCCCAAAAAGATAAAGGAATCTCAAATTTGATCTATAGCTACTATAAGAATTATATGCAACTCTTTAAATTTCTCCATGGTTTTAAATCATGGTGAAATTTCATGAATTTTCAGTTTCAGAGAATGCCACTAACACAACATAGGAAATATATCAATCCAAAAATAACTTTGGCTGAAATTTCTAAATCTCATCCAAAATTTTGGGATTTTGGCCATTTATTTCAATCACAACTTTGGAAAGTTAGTAAAATGATATAAAATATTCAATAAATATATTATTAAATACTAAAAATATTAATGAAATAATTAATACAAAAGTTTCACCTGATAGTTGGAAAAACTTTATTACAGACCATGGATTCAAAATGGCTGAATTACAAAATTTAAAACCTTGAATTTCACATGCCACTATATTAACACAATGGCAATGGATTCTCTTGTGTTTTTTTGGCTCTTTTTGTAGGATATTTGTATCAATTTTCAAGCTGTATAATACACTGAATTTCAAGATATGCCAATCAAAATCAAATTTTTGGGGGATTCCACAAGGCATCCAGTGTGCATATGAGAAGAAAATATATAAAGAACCACTATCAAATGATGCAACAAGCGAGGGAACCAGAAAAATCCTGCCTACATTATCAAAGGGCAATTGAAGATTTGTACATAGAAAGTTCCTAAAGTAATCATTCCAAGACACGTGATCAATAGAATTGTTGGAGTGAGAGTGAGTTGGGAACTGAATTGTTTGACAAAGACCCTGTGCAGTTTTTCTCGATCAGTCTGCAAAAGGTTCTTTGTTTGCTCACATGTTTCATATCACTTTACAAACTCCCCACGATGTCAAATTATTCACATGGAAATAACTAGTAACATTTCCAATTTACAGTCAGTAAATCTTACTTTCACCCGTATCAGACTTATCCTCCAAACCAAGAGCGCTATCAAAATTCTTCTCTATATTCTTCACGCTCTCACTAAGCTTTGTCACTGCCCCGGCTAGATCTGGGAAGCCCCCCAGAGAGACCTTCCCCAACCACGCCATTCTTTAAGGGATAACTTAACTCGCTCGATCCAAGAGCAAAGTTCTCGGATCAGACGCACTGAAATCCTGTTAATACATGTAAACAACAAAAACATAAAGTAAAGACCAGTGACAAAAGTTTCATCTAAATGAAAACCAAAGTCCAAAACTTTTTTCTTGCAGGTGACAGAATTCCGTGTACATACAGGTAAAGATCGAGCAAATCAAATACATGGAGCAACACAAAAATGATCCAAGAATCCGTAGTTCATCGAATTCTAATGGTTCACCGTTCTTCCTTTTTCTTTGTGTGGAAAAATAAAGAGATCAGGTAACATACAAAAATGTCGAATCCTAATTAAAATCATGTAATTCTAAGGAATATCAGTTGAGAGAGTACGTATGGAATTCGTTTATGTGATTCAGAGAAAATTGGCGCCAAAAAAAAAGAAAATAAAAAGGTAGATACCTTGGCTCAGATCAGATCAATGAAGTGAGAACCTGAATCCAACCTATACGTCAGAGATTGTGTCTACTGGCAAATTAAATGCGATCGCCACGTAGCCTAAACATAAATACTTAGGATTATAGAAGCACTGAAGCAGAGATACGGCTAACTTCGCTAATTTCTACCTAAACTTTTCGAAGAGATGAGCTTTCAATAAGTATGAACTATGAACTATGAAACAGAGCATTTTCAAGAGAAAAACTTTGGACGGTTCATTTCATGACTCGGGAATCGGGATCAACTTGTTTCATCCGAAATTTTTACACGCGTGTGGTTATAAAATATTAGTTTTTTCATATGGACCCCAAATATTTACAACTTTTATAGTTTCCCCCTTAGAAGGGTAAGGGTGATTATTTCAACCTGGCCCGGCCCGTACATAAAATAATATGCGTGCGTACATAAAATAATATACATATATATATATACACTAGTAAATTGATATATAATATAGTAATTAAGTACATGCATTAAAATTTTTTTTTCATATTAATTATTTGAATTTTAGATACATTTAATATAGAAATTGAAAATTAACAAAAGTAACAATATGATTAAAACTAAACTTAAATGCTTGTTGTACAATAAATTTTAAATTATAATAACACTTATTATTATTATTCTTATTGTTGTTGTTATTATTGTTGTTGTTGCTGTTGTCATTATTATTATTAACATTTTGTATTCTATTTCTATCATAAATAAAAATAATTTTTACTTTAAAAATTATGTTTATTTAATATGATGAATATATACCATTAAAAATATTTCCAAATGCTTTCAACAAAATTCTACACTTTTTCATTCTTTGTGTTCTATCTTTTTATTAAATATTTATTATTCAATTATGGCATCATAAGTTTCTTTTAAAAGTTGGACCATTAATCCACCATCTAAATAAAAAAATAGTTTTTCCTTCAGATTAGTTTTAAATAATATATATTTCACCTACATTATATAAATAATTTTTACTTATCATACTTAATTTTTGTCTGACATAATTAATATATAATTTGTAATATATTCTTTTGATTACTTGTACTTTTTTATTTTTTAAAGAGTTACTATTTAGATATCATATTATCGACTAGTCCATTTGATCCAAACCATTAACCCACCACCCAAAAAGAAAAATAGTTTGATTTCAATGTTGACATTAAATTTTGTATTACATTTCTATCACTCATAAAATTATTTCTTATGTATAATACTTATTTTTGTTCAATATAACGAATGTGTAATATTAAATATGTATCCAATATTTTTATTTTTTGATAAATATATAACATTAGATATGTGCCCAAATGTTTCTTTGTTTTTTTTTTATTTTTGTGATTCTTTGTTTCTTTTTTGTTTTTAAAAATTTTATTATTTGACTATGGCATCATTTCATTTATAGGTTGATTTTAAATTTGGCATTCCATTTTCAACATTAATAAGAATACTTCTTACATTTCATACTTATTTTTGTGTATAATGAACATACGATATTAGAGATATGCCCAATTCTTTTTATTTGTATTTTTATTATATATTTAATTTATTTTATTATGATATTATGATATTATTTATTAACCACCCATTTGACCCCATATGGTAGAATTGCTTACCCACCACGGGAGGTAAGAAAATGGTTTTGTTTTTTAATTCATTTTTCTTAAATATTTATTTTTATATTATTAAAATTAATGTTATGGATTTAATTAGTATAATTTAATGATGAGAAAAATATATATTAAATATGGAATTTAATGAGAGAATATACCTTAGATATGAGATTTGATGAGTTAAAATAGGGAAATTGTTTTATTTCCAATTAATTTAAAATTTTGCATTACATTTCCATTATTAATAAAATCATTTCTTATTTATCATACCTATTATTGTTTAATATACCAAATATATGATGTTAAAAAAAATCTCATTTTTTTAATCTCTATATTTTTTCACATTTTATCTATTTTTTAATTTTATTATTTAATTGTGACAACATGGATTGTCCCATTTGGCCCAAAATGATATAATTTCTTACCACCACCTAGATGAAAACACTTTTTTCAAGGTATAAGTTTTTGTTTTATTGAAATTATTAATTTATTGTATATGGATTTAATTAATAAAATTTAATGATGAGAAGAAACAAAAATGCCTTAAATATATGATTCAATGAAGGTGAATGCAAGTTAATACCTTAAATGTTGGATTTAATGAGAGGGAACTGAATACATTGAATATCTTAAAATTACCTATTTTCAAGTCATTTAATATCAATAACCAATTACCCTATTTGCCCTATTTTTTTATCAATAAATTTAAATATGGAGGGGCAAATTTTGTCCTCAAAAAATTCTAGAAGTATTATTGAGGCTATTCATACTTTTTAAAGTAGTATAGATATAGATTATTTTATGTTATATTACTAGTGAGACTCATGATGTATGGGGTTTATCAAGGAAAGTGAAATAACTAAAACTTGTAACTAAAGAAAGAATGCAATGTTGTTTAAAATAATTAAATTTTTAGTTTAATAATTTGTTACAAAAATGTTTTACTAATTTAGTAATTTAGTAATTTGGATTAATTATATTAATATTTTTAACAACATCATGAATTATTGCTAATTATTTAATAAAATAATTATTTTTCCATATTATCTGTTAATGTTTTATTTTATTTAAATTTACTTTATTAATGATTAAATGTTTCAATTTTTTGTAAATATCATTTAAATATTTAAAATACTTAAATATCATTAAATATATAAAATTAGGCTATAGTCATTATTAAATTGATCTATAGTTAACTTTTTTTAGTCATACTTAAATTAATCTAAGCCCAAACTCAAGGTTTAAGACTTTGGATTAGGCTTGGATTAATCCTCATATTGACCTAACCCACCCAAGTTGCATGCAACGTGACATTTTGTAAATGGACTGGACTAAACCAAGTGTAACTCATGTGTAGGTACCATGATAAGGATATGGAGGTTGGTCAACTCTCTAAAGGTCCAAAGAAGGCGACGGTAAAGAAAGAGGACATGGGGAAGAGAGAAAAAGATAGGAGATAAGGGAGAGTCCATGTCTCAAAAACCCTATGTTAAGATCATCTGATCCCTCTTGTCTCCCCTATGGAAGAGTTGCTCTCCCTTTTTATAGAGAGAAAGCCAAAGCTATAAGAATGACTTAAAATGAGACATTTCCTATTAGAAAATGGGGCATTTCCTTTATGTTGGAGCATTATTGGGGTTTCGCCACGTGTCCAGCAAGATCCTTCGAAGATAGGGTTTTCTTTCCCTTAAGGATTCTCTACGCATGTTACTTATTTTTTGTATCCCTTTTAAACTGATGTGGCATAGATGACATCATTATTTGCATCGCTCGTCTTTACTAGGCCCGTGCTGTGGGGCATCCCGTCATGCGTAATTTAAAGACGCACGTGTATCTAATATTCATTCCTGCTCTACAGTAATTCCATACATGTTTGAAGTTAATCACGAGTTCTGCACGTGTCTAAAGCTTATCGCAAATTCACGCGTGTCTAAGATTCAGCGTAGATCCGTGTAGGCCAAAGCTCATTGCAACCTATTTTGGGTATGAGTTCCTTGTTGATTTGCGATGAGTTATGAACTCATCGCAAACGTGTGATGAGTTCATGGATTTATCGCAGGCATCCGAGTAGTGTTGGTCTGACATCCTCTGTACTCTGATGGTCTTAGTAACCACTATATACCTACATCCCTAGGTTAGGATCAATTGATTTTGGAAAGACCATGGTTCTCTCTCCCATAATCTTTTTAGAAGGGACTTGAAGTTAAAAAATAAGATAAAGCGGTCATCAATAGGGTCACTTACTAATAAAACACAGAGATGTGATATGGGAAAAAAATTTGTGATGAGAAAATGCAAATCTCAGCACAACATGCGAAGAGGAGAAGACTCTTGTTATTATTCACTTGTGAACTGGTACATATATATAATTAAGTTAACCCACTTGGCCCACTTGTACTGCCACGTCAGCTTAGTTATAACCGCCTAACTGTTCGGATATTCTGTAATACCCCCCTAAGTCGTAGATGCAGTGACACCCAACTTGCATACAAGAAAATGAAATTGGCCAGCCCCTAGAGCTTTAGTAAGTATATCATCCGATTGAGACTTAGTGGAGAGATGGCAGAGTTGTCATTCTTTTGGACGTATTCCCGAACAAAATGGCAGTCAATGTCAATGTGCTTCATCCGCTCATGAAAGATGGGATTTGTTGCAATGTGGATAGTTGCATGGCTATCACTGTGAAGTTTAATAGGTTGTTGTAAGGTAATACCAAGGTCACGAATAATGCACTTAAGCCATACTAATTCACTTGTAGCCATTGCCATGATGCGGCACTCAACTTTTGTGGAGGATCAAGAAACAATGGCTTGTTTCTTTGTTTTCCATGATAGGGGAGATGTTCCAAGCATGGTGACATATCCCGTAGTTGATCTCCATGTAAGTGGACATATGGCCCAATCACAATAACCTATAAGGGTGCAATAAGTAAATGTAGAGAAGAAAATTCTTTGAGCTGGAGCTACTTTGATGTAACGTACAATGCGAATGGTAGCTTGCATATGTTCTTCACGAGGATCATGCATAAATTGTGACAACATGTGAACTATAAAAGTCAATTCAGGCCTAGTGATGGTAAGGTAAATGAGGCGGCCAATGAGCCATCGGTATTGGGCTCGATCAGTCAATGGCGGGCTATCCATGTCAACAAATTGTTTATGTTGCTCCATAGGATGAGATGCAAGCTTGCAATTAATCATGTCTATTTCAGTGATGATGTCCATGGCATACGTATGTTGGCATACAAAAATTCCATAATTAGAACGTGTGACCTCAAGCCCAAGAAAGTAGTGGAGGGGCTCAATATCTTTGAGATGAAAACAATCATGGAGATATGTCTTAAGATTATCAGTGTGGGCAACATCATTCCCAGTGATGACTAGATCATCAACATACACTAGGACAACCACAAATTGATCTGAATGGTTTGAGATAAATAATGAGTAGTTCATGACTGGTTGGGTAAAACCAAGGTTCAAAGTATCGACATGTATCGACCGATACGTATCATTCCATGACCCCTCTGATACGCCCTTACAATGGATGTATCTAGGGTTTGACCGGTGCATAGGGTGGAGGAGCCCTAAACCGATTGTGAAAAAAATAAAAAATAA